GTTTGATTCCTGGGGAATTGAACCTGTAATGCATTCAACATGAGTCAGCGCCAAAAGCTTTTATTTTACTTCTATAAATATAAACATGCAAGAGCACCAACATATCCCTTTAAAGTTCTTTGTTTCATTGCTTACAAAAGCAAACAATAACAAATAACATAAATGACAGTAAAAGGGTACTAGTTATAGTATCTGGAGTAATTGAAATAAATTATATTTATGTAATGACTTGGAAAGATACTCATTACAAGGTATAATTATATAACATATAAACTATAATTATAATATAAACTGAATTTTCACTGTGTTATATGTTAGGATATATGCACTTTTGTATAGATAGAAAATCTTTGGAAGCACAAGAGACAGTATGGCGTATGGAGTAAAAACATACTCAGAAGGTCAGGTGTTATAGATTCAAATTTCTTATAGTAGTAGCTGTATAAATTTGAGCAGGTCATTTCTGAGAGTTCTAGTTTCCTAAGAATGTATATGATAAAATATCTTCTTAAAGAAAAACTAAATAAATCGAGTCATACCTGGTATAATGGGCACATTGATTAAGACTATTATTATAAACTAGAGGCCCAGTGCACAAATTCATGCACAGGTGGGGTCTGAGAAGCCTGCCCTGATGGAGGCTGATCAGGATGGGTCAGTGTAGTGGAAGGGACAATAACTGCTTTTGTAGCAATAATTGCTTTACCTTGGAGTATAATGTAGTCTTAGAATACAGCAACATTTTTTTGAACAGTGGTTTACATTTTGTCTTAATTTTGAAGGCTCCTTTTATTCGGTAGCATAGATTAGCAGTCCATATTTCTTATTTTTCCTTTTATTTGTTCTGTTTCATCTTTTACATATAGAAATCTGTCTAAGCATGGTCTCTGACCATAAAAAAAGGTAAGTATATTTTCTATGGGTCCTCTCATGTCCCTCTCTGTAATTTTAGGGTCATCTCCATTCTCTATTTTAATCCATATCAATTTTTTGTGTACTTTTATATATTAATATTTTAATGTTGGTCTTCAAAGGGTTCTTTAACACTGCTTTCTACTTTTAATGCTCACTAATAATATAAATCTTTTATTTGAAATAAATTTTAGCAGTTTCAATGAGCTAAAAGTTTTTCCACATTTTTCTCCAAGAGGATTGCAGTGATTAAAAATATATTAGTGATTATCTTCATTGTTAATTTAGTTTCACTGATGATATACCAGGTGGTAAAACTAAATGAATGAATAGGTAAATGAATAAAATGATAAAATAAATAGTGAATGACATAGTTGAGTGACCCATATTTTTTTTACTTCTTTCTTTTTCCATGCCTCTCATTTTTAAGATATTAAAACTATAATACTATTTTATGGTTCACTGTCTCATAATTTATTTTTTACCTAATAGTTTTGGTTGGAATTTTATTTTACATGCAAGTAATGGATGCAACAAACAATAGGTGAACTAATTTTTATAAGAAAAAACCTTTTAAGTTATATATACTTATAAGTTAATTTTGTATTTATATGTTTATAGAAAATACACCTGTTATAGTTATGCAAAGCAGGTTCAAACTTAGATAAGCACTGCCAAATAATATTTAATTATTACATACCAATATTTCTAGTAAAGTAAGCATATAGAATGGTTAATATTCAGATATTTGAATCTATTACATTTTTAAAACAATGAATTGACTTTCCCCCCTCTATTTTATAACAGTGAAGTCTACTTTCTGTCATTAGCTTTGGTACTTTAAATCAACATATAAAATTGAAATATTGTCCTTACTTAGAATTCAATGTATTTTATGCTAATGAATTTTTAGTTCCCTCACTAGGGAAGACAGTGAATTAGAATATATTAGTCTATATTTAAGAACACACTCAATTAGTTTTCAAGTACTTACTACTAGAAAGTATACACTTGAAATGTTATTCAGTTGTGTCTATGCTTATTTATTTTAATCCATGAAGACTTCTTCTAGCCGTTGAGTTTGGAAAATCCTGGCAGGTCAGATTGAATCCCAAATTACCTCATGGTACAACCTAAAGATCAGACTGCAGCTCTCACATAAAAGTAGCTTTCCATCTATCCAAGACTAGTTCTTCTGACATCTACAAAAGCAGATTCATATATAGGCATGTGTTGGTCTGATATTAGTTATTGGTAGTGACTTTGTTCCTTGGAAGTCATTTTCTACAAAATAACCATTCATCTCCATAGTCCTCATCTTGGCATCATTAGTCCTAATGACATATGGCCAGATGCTTTCCAGAGGATTTGATCCTTGTAAGGACACCACATAAAATCTCGGGCCACCTGTTATGTGAGAAGATAAAACAAACCTTCAGCATATATGCTAAATAGTCAAGAATTGTGGGTTATTCATAATTCTTTTAAAGTAATCCAATTGAAATCATGTACTCATGAAAGAATATAAGAAAAAGAAAAATGAAAGTATTTGTGCAACACCCCTTGGAAATAAAGTGATTTCAAATCCCTTCTATATAGTAAGAATATGAACATCTATTTATTTCAATGTTTTATTAGAAGTATCAAATTGGTTAATATATTTGACAATTTTAATATATAATGACTTGACAAATAAATAAAAATACTACTAGAAATTGAAGTGATATCCATTCCTTAGATGCATATTTTATTGAGCCATAAATAGAGTAACAAATACATATTAAAATTCTGTGACAAGACCTAATAATCACTGTAGGTTGCTAGGCATTGATGTTGTCAGAAACCACATATACTTTTTGTTCATTATTGCATTTAATCTTTACAATTCTCTGAGATTACCAATTTGATTAAGCCCTCTGATTCTCAACTACCCAAAAGAAAGAAATTCAGGTATGTCTATATGATTCCAACTGAAGTTCATATATTAATCAATATCTATATTTTCAACATATTATATGCATGAGAATAAAAATATTCAGAAAATGCTTACATATCAAGGAATAAAAAGCTTAAAAGCAGGCAAAAAAACATGAAATATTTCCAATACAAGATAGTATATGTGATGATTTTCTAAAATATGTGGTAAGCAAATTTCAAAGCAGGGTGAAACCTGTGCAGGATTAGTGAATAAGTGATAGTACAGTCTTTTTTGAAAATGATCAGTTCCATTAAAGGATATAAGAGATAATCAGAGATGAAGAGAGTAACACTATAGAAAAAAAATTAAGTTAAAGGTTGCCCTCTAAATAATTATTCTGGGATAATAAGCCTAAACCAGGACAATCTAAGCAAATTAAAGCAAATAGCCACCAAAATAACTCTTTTTTTTTTAGAAAGAAAGATAAAAATATCAAGGATTTTTATTCATTCTTAAAAGAAATAACATTTCTAGAATAATTTTTGTATTTCTAAGGTATGAATTATTTCATTTGTAAAGCTTGCCTTTGGCAAGCATGCCATAGAAAGAAATATTCATTTTACATCATAGCAATCACTTTCTGCACACTTGCAAATTAAAAAAAAAAATAACTATAATATCTACCTTTTTTTATTAGATTGAATACAATGTTATGGAATTAGTATCTACATTATTAGTCAATTATGCCTAAAACTAGCATGCCCCCTATTCATTTTAGTATTAATTTCAACAGGTTTCATATCTATTTAGAATTAATTTTAAGTACCAGTGCACGCTAGTCATTCAACTGTCTCCTCTCACTATATTGGTGTCCTCTGTATTTATTCAAACAGAATGGGCAAGATATTCCTGGGGCTTTGACACTGAAAACTAAGTTATTTACTTAGTCTTTCTTTCCTTTCTCTTCTTTCCTCCTTTCCTTCCTTTTTTATTTCTTTATCCTTATTCTTACTCTCTGCTTCCTTCCCTTATTTTTTTCCTCCTTTTTATCCTTCCTTTTTTTCTTTGCAGCAAAATATCAAGAAGCAAGTTAGATGTTTCAGCAGTGTAATATTCTTTTCATGTTACCTTAATTAATCTGTCAGTAAATGAATTATTTTTCTGAAAATTATACTTCTAATATCCTCTATGCCTTGTCTCATGCTTTTTTATTTGTCAAACAGTACATTTACTCAAGACTGGGAGCTCTGCCTTGCCTGCAGACTGACAGGAGTTCCATCTCTGAACCTGCCCGCACTTGTTGATTGACTCAGCCAGTCAATCAACAATCCTCACATTTATCCCATATTGGCACATTTCGTTGTTGCCTGTCCATCTCCATTATTTACATAATACCTATGTAGAAAACACTTTTTCCTGTGTTACCTGTCAGAATTCCTCTGCTCTTAGTAGCAGAACTTACTAGTAGCCTAGTTTTCTGGAAGATGTTTGACTAAAAATGATATTTGAAGTTAAATCCAAGAGAATGACAGATATTGGATGGCTGAGGCTTAAAATGAGCTAAAGTTTGTGATGTACATTCAAGATCCAGATGCCTTAATTTTTATTTGTTTTCTTTCTCTTAAAATTTTCCACATTATTCATATATTAATAGGAAATATATTTTAAAGCATACAAAAATTGAAACAAAAATGCTTAACATAAAGGTGCACTTATTTTAAATACTCTGGTCATTATAAAAATCACATGTTGCTAGATATTTTGAATGAAATGTCACCTTATAGGCTTATAAACAGTGATCCCATTGGTAAAACTTATTTTACATAAAAGAAAATGTTCTCAATTGGCAATTCATCCCAATAATTAATAAAATTGAAAATGGTAGCACATTTGTTCTCAGATATGTTGCAGTGCTTAAATATATTAGAAATTTACCAAATGCTTCTTAAATTGTATTTCAGCCAACGTAGTCCCTTTTGTAGTAATATACATTACATTGTCTCAGGAAATCAGGTAAACTATTTTTAAAAAGTATGCGTCATTTATTGATCTTGTCATAAATAAATAAAAAAACAACAACAACATATAGTTCAATGTTGTAATTACACTGAAAAAAGCAAAGAATAGATTTGAACCAGCATTTTTCAGCTATCTTAAAACTTTATTTCAGCTGTGAATGTATAGCTGGATGGACTGGACAAAACTGGTGAAGAAATAAATGAATGTGACTCTGACCCATGCCTGAATGGAGCTCTTTGTCAGGAGTCTGCCATCCCTGGGCAATGTGTATGCCTGTGTCCACCCTTTTATAGTGGAAAATCCTGCCATCAACACTATAACCCCTGTGATCCTCTCACTGACCCCTGCAGAAACAAGTCAACATGCTTGAGTTTGGTGGATGGAAATCATTATTGTATGCATAGAGAAGGTAAGAGCTTATCAAAGAATATTCTGGGAATATCTGAATCCATCCATAGCTGTAGAGAGGCTACTTCCAACTTTCTGGGTCATATCAGTCAATAACTTTACCTATTACCAAGGATGCTTGATTTTATATCTCTTCAGCTGTAACTGAGGGCAGTCTGAGTAATGCACAAGTAGTCTGGACTAAAGGTCACTTGCTCACATCCTGCTGGCTACACAAGAACTATTGCCACCTTCAGCAGTGATGCTTCTGCCATAAAACCAGCACATCATATATTTTTATTGTAACTGGAATGTGTCATAAGCACAATATAAAAATCACATTGTGTTTGGAGGTGTGCAACTATTATTTATTTCTTAATAGTCACTCATGGGTGCGTGTTTGGCTCTGCTAGGACTCCTTTAAAGATAAAAATAACACTTATCTAATCTTCTGTCAAAAAAGGCCAGCTTAGACGATATCAATTAATTAGGTACCTTAGTCAAATCTATTTCTGTTCGTTCTTACAAACTGTTTAAAACCTGTTGATTCGATAAGGTAATCTATTATAAGAATATAGAGGCAAGTCCTTGCACCTCTGTACATGACAGAAACTTCTGGGCCTTCACAGGGATTGGAACTATAAGCAGAAAAGTCATTAGCAATTGCTTTTTGCAAAAATAACATGGATATAGAGCATATAATGTGGGCATATAAACCATATGCTACATGTTTTCAAGAACGAGACAGAAAAACCAAGACAAGATAAAGTGTGAGGCAAGCATTTGATGTCCTGCTAATCTCAGTAATTATGAAGTACATAATTTAAATGGATAAATTTTATTTTAACAAAAAATTGAGAGTGAAACTTTTTGAAAAATTAGCCAATAGCAGGCTGCTTTTATTCAGCAGGATTATTCCATTGTGCTTTTCTTGTCTTACAAATATATTCTCAGAATGTAAGTAATATATAAATATTTAATGAAGGGCAGCAGTATATTTCTAAATTTAAATAAAAACTCTTCTATTTTCAACCGAGATAATTTTCTGCAAGATAGGCATGGTTTTTCAAATCGTATTTTCTATAATTCATTTGCAATTCATAAATGCAGTCAGTGAATTTATATAATGTAGTGAGATTCCTTTCCCATTGTGGGAATAAGTTCAGAGATATCATAAAATGTTATCATCACCTATCAACTAGATAAGATTTTCCAACCTCTTGAGCATCTACACAAATATCTCAGGGACAATTCAGATTTTACTACTATATATCAGTAAAATCTTACATTTCTTCTTGGAACTTCATCTCTACTTAAGGCTTCCAGAGAAATGTGACTAATGAAATAAATGTTTTGTATAGAGTGGCAGATAGGCTCAATCATTTGTCCCTTTCTAATTGTGATCCAGCCCATAGATATTTGAGGTGCAAATCATTTATGCACAACAAATATGTAATCAAGAAAAATAGTTTTAAATGTTTATAAGCGATTATAGGAGTAAGCTTCTGTGAGGTCTAACTGCAGTAAAAATATTTACTTATGTTGCCTTTAATAGTTCAACCTCTGTAGCTAAAGTACTATGACATTACTTAAAAAAAAAAAAAAAAAAAAAAAAAAAAAAAAAACTACTTCAGAATATTAAAAAGAGGCTGACTGAAATATTTTAGAAATTATACCCTAATTTACTTTAATAGTTGTTAATATGGTTGACGGCCTGGGAGGGGTGGGAAGAAAAGGGAGGGGACATCTGTAATACTTTCAACAATAAAGATAATTTTAAAAATAGAGTTATTACAGCCAAAACCGGTTTGGCTCGGTGGTGAAGCGTCGATCTGTGGACTTAAGAGTCCCAGGTTCGATTCCGGTCAAGGGCATGTACATTGGTTGTGGGCATATGCTTAGTGGGGGGGCGGGGGGGGGGGGTTGCGGGAGGCAGCTGGTTGATGTTTCTCTCTCATAGACATTTCTAGCTCTCTATCCCTCCCTCCTCCTCTCTGTAAAAAAATCAATAAAATATATTATTTTTAAAAATAGAGCTATTACAAATAAATAAATAAATGGCAAATATTCCAATAGAAAATATTGGCAAAAGTTGTACATTAAAAAATCATAGAGATGACCCTGGCTGGGGGGTTCAGTTGGTTAAGAGCATCATGCTGATATGTCAAAGGTTCTATCCCAGGGCAGGCCACATACAAGAATCAATCAATAAATGCATAAATAAGAGGAAAAAATAAAAATAAATCAGGGCCTATGTCAAAGCCATTATATCTATTTTTTAAAGAAAATATTTTGATCAAACTCTATTTTGAAGAATACTGAGATTTCCAATCAGAAAGAACTCAAGACTCAACATCTTATGCAAATATAGGATTTGGAAATTCCCCTGGAACTCTGAAGTTGTTGGTGTTTGTCAAGTGACTAGAACTTAGCATGTTATGAGCAAAGAGATTTAGGGCGTAAGACCAGAGTTCAGCACATGTTTTTGAAATTCTGTTAATGGTTTTTAGACAAAACTATTGGTTCTATCTCAATTTAAATATGGATATGGCTGAAACCGGTTTGGTTCAGAGGATAGAGCGTCTGCCTGTAGACTGAAGGATTCCAGGTTCTATTCCGTCCAAGGGCATGAACCTTGGTTGTGGGCACATCCCCAGAAGGGGGCGTGCAAGAGGCAGCTGATCGATGACTCTCTCATTGATGTTTCTAACTCTCTCTCTCCTTCCTCTCTGTAAAAAATCTATAAAATATATTTTTAAAAATAAATAAATATGGATACGTATGAAATTCTAGAACCACAGCAATAATGAGACTACAGACTAGACAACTACATTAGAAATTACATTAAATTTTACCCTAAGGATCCTAAAAGTACAGAAACTAAAATTGGACTTTATGCCAAATTGATTGCTCAGCAGGAAATTATTTTGCTTAGTGAGACTGAAACTTACAGTCAAAACATTCTAATTGATCTCGGTGCAATTGGAGCTACTGAAAACTTATAGTTGTAGTAAAACATTAGAATTATCTCAATCATGTTGCAAGAGAAAGTAAGAGCAGTGCTCTGTCTGGTCTAATTAGAATTTAGGTGAGGTGAGTTAATTTGGTCCCTATGCTACTGAACATTTTTAGTGAAAAATAGGTAGAGACATATTTAGCAATAATAATTCGATACAGGCATGTTTTATTTATAAACCTATTTGTTTAAAATTTCATGTGATAAAACTCAGTGCTTTAACAAATATAAACTATGACACAGAAAGAGAAATCTAATTTCATAAGATTCCTATAAACAAATGGAGTTTAGACTCAGTATTCCAATAGCATTTGGTTTGGTGATTTAGTGTGCAACTAAATTACACACGTTAATTTTTTTTTTCATACTACACCTATTTTTTTGCCCCTCTAAGCTATGCTCTGTACACAACATATGTCAGTCTTGTAATTGCATGTTGATAATGTTTTAGAATTTGGAAAAATTTATTCTTTACTAACTGATTCAAAAAATATGTATTGATTTATTGCCATGTGTCCTGTCTCGAGACAGGTTCTTGAGAAATAAAGCAGTCCAAAGATATGCCCTCAAGGAGTTGAAAGCACAAGGGAAAGAGAGACACACAAGTTAACTAAATTTTAAATTACAGTGTTGTGCCAGTCAGAATAAGATAAGTATCACATGATCTCACTCATGTGTGAAATCTAATGAACAACATAAACTGATTAACAAAAATAGATCCAGAGACATAGAAGCATTGAACAGACTGTCAAACCTCAGAGGGAAGGCAGGGGAGGATGGGTGGTAAGAAATCAGCCAATGAACTTGTATGCATATGAGCATAACCCATGGACACAGACAATAGGATGGTGAAGGCCTTACGTGAGGGGCTGGGGCAGAATGGGAGACATCAATGGGGGAAAAAAGAAGACATATGTAATACTTTCTTTAAAAAAAAAAAAAAAAAAAATATATATATATATATATATATATATATATATATATATATATATATATATATTATTGATTTTTTTACAGAGAGGAAGGGAGAGGGATAGAGAGCCAGAAATGTCGATGAGAGAGAAACATTGACCAGCCGCCTCCTGCACCACCCCCCTCCCACCGGGGATGTGCCTGCAACCAAAGTACAATACATGCCCTTGACAGGAATCGAACCTAGGACTCCTCAGTCCACAGACTGATGCTCTACCACTGAGCCAAACCAGTTTCAGCCATATGTAATACTTTCAACAATAAAGATTTTTAAAAGTAAAATGTATGGTTTTTTTCCCATTTAAGATGGAAATATGTGTAAGAGCGTATTTGTGGATGCATGCCCCAGCTTTCTCATTTAGTGTGACAATTTTGAGTTATGTCTCACATGATTTCTAAGAGAATTTCCAGCAGCCTGTATCCTTAGTTGCCCACACCAACAACCTCATTAAACCACTCCCTTCCCTATTTTGTTTCCCTACTCCCTTGCAATAATTGTTGGGATCAACTCTCAAATAAGCTCGTTGTTTGCAAATCATTATCTAAGATTTTTCTTTTGGAAGAACTCAAGATTATGATTGATCCAGATCTAGGCATATGACTGGAATATTGCCATTAAGAGATCTTCCTTAGAATTGATGCTAAGAGAAGCTTTCTCAGTTGATGCAGCCAACATCATACCATATTCCCTTCACCTGGCGATCTGTACGTAGTGGGAGATATCGATAAATGCTTTTGAAAGAACTTGTGCTGGCAGTACCCATAGTTCTTTCTCTAATTCTACAAACTGCCTATTATCTTTCCCAGCTTGACTACAAATAAATCCCATTCCTTGTCTAATTGTTTTTGTTTATATTGCATGTGATGAAAAAGTTAATTCTAAAGCACAGTGAGGGGAAAGAGCTAATTACCGTATTTTTCGGACCATAAGACGCACCGGACCATAAGACGCACCAGTTTTTAGAGAAGGGAAATGAAGAAAAAAAGATTCTGAAACAAAAAGTTCAGTGTTACCACTACAATGTGTAAACCCATAAATCATGCAGAGACTTTCTATGCTTTCTTTGCATAGTTTATGGGTATCTACACACTGTAGTGGTGAGAGAAGAGGCTGGAGAGTGTTTTACATTATGGTAAATGTTATTGGTTTGGTATCACAGAAAGTCTCTGCATACAATATACCGGTATGAAGTTTGTTGCAGTACAAACATTTTGACAGTTCCCGGTATAATAGTATGAAGAAAAATTCTGATGTAGCGGCGTTATCAATCAGGGCATCCAGCGGAGGGCGGAGTTTACTGGTGGGCGGAGATCTACAGTACGCCTACCCAGTAGTCAAGCACAGAAACAGAGGGCGGAGAGGAATGACTGGGGGAATAGACGCGGCATTCTTCCGGGCACAGAGTACGGGCCAGCAAGGGGTACAGGCGATGATTACAGTTTGGTTTACGCAGTTAGCGTACACTGCACCTGGGCTGACATGGAGATATGGCTGCAGCGAGGGCATGGAGGCTGACTACCATACATGGGAACTCCTCTACCACTCGGGGTTTACAGAGCGGGGCAGACACTCTGGGCACGGAGGAATGGACAGTG